ATTCATAAAGCGATAAAAAACCAATTTGTTCAGAAATCAGGAAAATATTAATAATAGATTTTTTAAACTTTAATAGAATTTTTAAAAATTCTATTTTTATGAAACAGAAATGGATGACAGGTAAATAACTTTCAAAGATCTGTTTAATACTATCACTAGATTTAGCCCTATCAACCATACCTTCTCCTTTACAGAATCTTGCAGTTATAATTGATGTTCATAATAATGACCAAGTTGGCTTATGTATACAAATTCTTCAAAAATTTGTTATGGTTATAGTCGCTATATAGAGGAATTCAATTTTCAGTAATTAAGGATACTCAAATATAGCTATGTAAGTGTAATGAACTGAATCTTACTGCCTAGTAGAGCATATGTGTTAAATGTAACTTTAGTCTATTTTTCTGAAATAAAAAAATCTTAGTAGATCTTACTATAGTTTGTCCATAAAAGAGAATTTGTACCCTACACAACATTAAAAAAAAAAAGTGTGGAGAGAATGCATTTTGATTTTTTTACATGTTTCTAATAAATGGATTTATGCTTATGACCAAATATGCAAATGATTTCGGCTTTTTCTTTACTCTCTCCACAATTCAACCCTCCTACAGATAAGACCACTACACCACAACTTGGAAATCACCCTGAAAGCCAGTAAACCATTGAACTGTTAAAGCTTGTAGGATTCTCCACTACACTCATGCTACCTGTAGACTAAAGATAAGGATATTTGTCACTGTACTTGACTTTGTCGTACCAAAAATATGATTTATGGCTCTATAGTGATTAGGTCTCCCAAATCCTTCATAATATTTTTTTTCTGATAATGAAATGACGTCGTCTCAAACATGGCTAGTGGCAATACAAAAGCGTACAGCCACTTTGGAAAACCAGTTTGGCCGTTTCATATAAAGTTAAGCACACACTTGAAATATAATTCAGTCATCCCACTCCTAGATATTTACCTGAGAGGAGTGAAAACACATGCCCACACAAAGACCTTTACATGCATATTTCTAGCAGTTTTGTTTATGATTGCTAGAAAAGAGAAAGCAATCCAAATGTCCAACAACTGGTGAATGGATAAACACATTGAAGTGACTGCATACAATGAAATATAATATTCAGTAACGGAAAGGAATGAACTCCTGATACAGGCAACAGTGGCGATCTCAAAAGCCATTGACTAAGGGAAAGAAGCCAAACACAAAAGGGCTCCGTACTCTGTTTTTCCATCTCTATGGCATTCTGGAAAACAACTGAAAAGTCAGAAATCAGAACAGTTGTTGCAAAGCTGGGGGATGGGAGGAGGAGACTGATCAGGAAAGGACCTGTAGGAACTTCTTGGCGGGGGTGGGGGGGGGGTCAGATGTTCTGTAGGTCCGCGGTGTTGGTACTTCCATTGCGATGTCAACACTCACGAAATTATATACCTGAAATGGAGCGTTCTTACCTTCTGTTAACCATACCAGTAAACCCTACTTTAAAAAAAACAAAGGAAGACCTGCTTAGTGTAGAAATTGTGAAAACGTGAAGTCATAAAGAACAACACGAAGGAGCAGCTGGCTGGTTCAGTAGAGTGTGCAACTCTTGACCTTGAGGTTGTGAGTTTAAGCCTCATGTTGGGCATAGAGATTATTTTTAAAAAGTATGAAATTCATCTTTAATCTCAACAGCCCAGTATTAATTGCAGGCTTAATATTTTGATGTGTCTTTCTGGATTTTCTCCCCATGCATGTACTGTAAGCTCATGTGACCGCTTTTTTTTTTTCTAAACCTAGCATTATAATAATTTTTTCACATCATTCTTTTTTTTTTTTTAAGATTTTATTTATTTATTTGATAGAGATCACAAGTAGGCAGAGAAGCAGGCAGAGAGAGAGGAGGAAGCAGGTTCCCTACTGAGCAGAGGGCCCGATGTGGGGCTTAACCCCAGGACCCCGGGGCCACGACCTGAGCCGAAGGCAGAGGCTTTAACCCACTGAGCCACCCAGGCACTCCTCACATCATTCTTTTTGACATCATTTTTAATAGCAGCTTAACTCCTTCCTTACCATTTGATTCTTAGGCAGTTTTGAGTTTTTTATTTTAAACAATATTGATAAACATCTTGTTCTCATTCTTCCCTCGGTTTTAAATATCTCTTATGCCCAGAATCTAATTTTATACCAGTGAAAAAGCAGCAAGACAGTGATACTAGATACCTAATGCCAGAAATCATTCTTAGAGTGAAAAAAAAAAAAACCCTCAAATTTGTTGAAATTAAGTTTAATGTGTTCTTATCCAGGATAGTTAGCTTTTCGGATGTATTCGTGTCCATTTCATTCCATAAAATTTTAGTCTGGTTAATGTGAAAACTGAAGGGCAGAAACTATCCATTCTTGCTACTTAACATTTATAATATTTCCTTTATGCAATCGATCGTTTATTGAATGTATTTTTTTTTTCCTTAGGCAGAGAGTAAAACTCTGCCGTCTAGCTACTTCCAAGATACGCTTGTTCATTTGTGACTCCCATGTATGGTTGATTGAATTCCCCCTTAAAGTGTAACATCCCAGAACACCTTGGGGCCCAACGTTCAAGTGCTTACCTTGGTTCCAGTCTCATATTGTCTTTCTTCAATTTCTTATATCCTCTCCCAACCTCCAGTAGACACATGCATGTGTCCACCCACTGCTGCGCTGTTTTCAAAGAAATCCTATGCTGTCGTTCCCAGTGTGTTGATCCATGGTTTTGAGTGATGGTTGCAGCAGGTAGTAGTACTCCTTGTGTAGGACCTTCACTCTCAGCAAGACTTACACTTGCTGATGGTGTCGATGGTTTGTGGATCACTATTCACTTTCACTTATGTATGACCCAAGTTGCCCAGCAGCATGCTAAGTGAGACTCTTGAAGGAGCTCAGAAGCAGGCAGTGGTCACCAGCAAAGGTGATGCCACATTTTCTCTGGCTCTCAGGCAGCCTTGGTGCACATTTTGCTTGTGCACTTTCATACAGGCCATCGGTCTTATCTCCTGTATCTAGCCCCTGAGGTCATTGCTGTTAACCCTGTGATAGAAGTTCGGGTGTGTGCATTTCAGGAGAGGGAAATTACCTAGGACAGACAGAAAGAGAGCAGCTAAACACCTATCACCAAAACCACAAAAGAGAAATTAGAGAAGCTGGAGCAAAGGTGGGGCAAAGGGTTTTAAAGGGACCTCGAGAGGAGGTAGTGAACAGGTGAGAACAGGAACTGTGGATGTCTCTGTCGGTCACTAAATGAATTCACATCATATCCAGGAGTGCAGGCCATGTGGTGTCAAGGGTTTTGTGCGAGCCAAAAAGAAGTTCATCTAGCTAGCTGATGTATCAGAAAGTAAGTAAATAATTTGGGCAGTGTGGATGATGATTTCCAATGTAAAAGCCTAGTTTTTATTTTGACTTTTAGGAACTGCATGTTAGTTTTCTTGATTCTGAAAATTTAGAACCCAAGAAATCAAACCCATAGATACAGAGAACATATTGGCGGTTGCAGAGGAGGGAAAGCTTAGGGTGGGACAAATGAGGGAAGGGGTATTAAAAAAAATTTTTTTAAAGTGTACCCATTCGTTTCAACATACCTTAGCCAGTATCTTGAATTTCTTTTAAGAGGGGGCAAGAACGTTTGCTTTGCTTCACAAAAGAAAATTATGTTAATAAGAGATGAAAAATTCAAGCTAAGATTTTAGTTTTAAAAATTGTGGAAGTCTCTGGGGTGCCTGCCTAGCTCAGTTGCTTGAGTGTCTGACTCTTGGTTTAGGCTGAGGTTATGATCTCTGGGTTGTGAGATGGAGCCCCATATGGGCTCTTCCTCTCCCTCTTTCTCTGTGCCTTCCCCATCTCGCATGCTCTTTAAATAATAAATATTTGAAAACAAATAAAGTAAAAAAATAAACATTGTGAAAGTCTCAAGACTTTAAGCCCCCAAATAAATGAATAACCATAGTACTTTTTTAATACTCAGAACTGTATATAAATTTAGAGTAGCCTTTACAAAGATGAACCTTCACTTCAGAAGAAAAGGACAGTGATAAAATGTTTTAAAATCTTTAATTTAAAAATTAGGCCTATATTTGTCATATTTCAAGCATCTAACAATCTTTTCTACTTTTGTAGGAGGTGTGTATAAGTTGCTATGGTATAATTTCAAAATCGCTGTCCATGATATGCTTTACTTCATTAATGTTTAATATCTTCCTTTTCCTCCTTGATATATATGCTTACATCTATATATTCAGTAAGAAGAAAAGTTTTGTCCTCAGATGATTCTCTGCTTTATTCATTTCCTTTCACGTTACTATCAGCAATGTGAAGTTAACAAAAGCACTGGCGGTAACTATGTTGAATTAGGCTATGTCTTCTTCACATTCATTATTGCCTGAATTCCATAGTTAGGAAAATTTGCAGCAAGATACTTCTGTAAGTCAGCTAGGCCACCAAATTCTGAGGCTGGCAGAGACCTTAGAAATCAGCAAACCTAGTCCTGCCATTTATAGTTGAAGAAACAGAAACTGAGATCGGTGCCAACGTAACTTGGGGTCATCCAACTGGACAGTGACCCTTCCCTCTGGGTTCTTGGCTCTACAGATGCCTCCCCCTTAGGCCACACTTCTCAGCCATGGTCATCTGAGAGCTGAAACATGAATCCTTTATCCCCAGTTTATAGCCTTTGTCTCTCCTAAGAAGTGTGTGTTAAGAATAAAATTCCCACTGGTTCTCTGATTATCCTTTCTAGCTCCAACTTCGCTCAATTTGTAGTAAGAACTGACAAATTGATAAGCCACATAAATCAATTCCCTTTCAAGAACCTAGAATAAGCTCAGTCATTTTGTAACCAGAAGCTACATGTTGTCTCAGCTTCCAAATAAACTAAACTGCCTTTAGCAGGCTGGTCTCAAGAATAAATACCTATGGAAGAAATACGATTACGCAGAGCCACAACGTTATTCATCTAAAATATTCTTTGCTTGTTTTTCTTGCCAGATATCTGTATGCCCTAGGACAGAAGGTTTGGAAAAGATGGAAAAAACGTTACTTTGTTCTTGTTCAGGTTAGTAAATTATTTTCCTGTTACACAATCAATCTAAGACAGCAGTTCTCAAACTTTTGCTTAGTGGGTTAAATCTATTGATACTCACTGTGTTAGAAATTAAAATTTATGAGATTAAGAGTCACTTACAGTTTGTCTCCCTCCCAATCCCATCTTGGAGGGTTGCTGGGGGGAGGGGGGTTGGGAGGGGGGTGGGGTTATGGACATTGGGGAGGGTATGTGCTATGGTGAGTGCTGTGAAGTGTGTAAACCTGGCGATTCACAGACCTGTACCCCTGGAGATAAAAATATATTATATGTTTATAAAAAATAAAAAATTTTTAAAAATTTTAAAAAAAATTAAAACTTAAAAAAAATCCTTAAATACTTCATTTCAAAATAAAAGTAGCAATTTTTTTACATGCTAACACAAGTAACAGTTTTATGTAAAATAACTGTGTTCTGAATCAATTTAGGTAAGTGCAAGGCATTATTTTACACTCTTGTACATCTCTTTAATATCTAGCTTAGTAGAATGCAGCTGTATTTTCATATCAGCTTCCTCATTCAATCTGTTGCAATATCAGATGAAATTTAGCCACTGGAAAATTCCACCATACGCACATGAGAGGATAGCTGTGAAAAAGGCAAATGATGTCTAAATATTGTTACAAAAATAGTTTTGACCTCACAGATTCCCTGAAAAGATCTTAAATTCTTCAGGATAACAGGACCATACCTTGGGAAAAACTGCATCATTCTGATATTTTATAAATAAACCATAATACTTAGAAGCTCCCACTTTTATACAGATATTCCATTTTTATCATCTATTCACATAATTATATCAGTAAATTACCTGGACTGGTAGATTGATTTGCAATAGGATTCTGAATATAGACAGGTTACTGGGATATTTATTCTGACTGACTCTGTTTTGTTTGTTTGTTAATCACAGATAACCTTTGCTCATAGAACATACTCATCAAAATAAATTTACAGTAAGGAATACTTTCTAAGAAGTAGTCATTCCATTCTATGATGAATCCAAGCTATTTTATCCCCAATGGATATATATGAAAAGAAAATCATTCTTGGTATTCTTAACATAAAATAGTCTCAAATCTTGTCGATTCCTACCAATGCATTAAGCAAACTTTAAATGGAGCCTATCAAAATAACATGGTGAAATGCCAAGGAAGGAAAACTGTCATTTGCTGTCTTCCAGGTGTAAGGTAAACTATCCATTGTTGGATGTGCCACAATGCATGGTAACTTCATGAAAAGTATAAAAATTCCATCAAAAGTAGTTTTGTCTGCATGGCAGCCAGCCAGCCTATTTCTCTAAAATGTAGCCTTATGTGATTAGAACCAATATTCGGTCAACTAATTTAACAAAAGATACACGTACTTGTATGTAAGTACTTTGGCGGTCTTGATAGAAAGCCCAAACATTTGCTTTGGGTGTCTTCCATTTGGAGTTCTGGGTGATCTGTCCTCCAAAAACCACACCCATAAGACCTCTTTTTTGGTTTCCATATTTAATTTCTTTACATCATTACAAGGACTTAAATGCATTGACTAGGCAGTTTTCATGCAGATCTTTCTGGGCATTTGATTTTATTCCTATTTATAGATGTCTCCCATCTAATTTAACAGGTTTGTATTAGCAACGTCATCAAATCTTTCTGAGTCATTCAACTGATATTTCATAGAAACTGCAGTTTCTTTTTCATTGTCCTACTTCATGCATTACAATGCAGACTTTTTTTTAACTTCATAGTTTTAATAGCTGATGTTATTGGCACAAACAAACCTAGCTGACTCTTAGTAAGCACAGAGTTTTACATATCAGTCATTACACTTTTTTTAATTTTTATTTTCTTAAAGACTTTATTTTTCCATACACCCCCTACCCCCCACACATGCCATGGTCTCCCCATCATCAACATTACTTGATACATTTGTTACCAAGAATGAACCAACATTGGTCCATCATAGTCATCCAGGGTGCATAGTGTTGTGTATTAAATGTGTTTGAACAAATGTGTGATGGCATATATCCAATGCTGAAATGTCACACAGAGTGTTTTCACTGCCCTGAAAATCCTGTTCCAAGCCAATTTGGCTCTTCTCTCCTCCGTGGCAACCACTGATCTTTTTACTGTCTCTGTAGCTTCACCTTTTCCAGGATGGAAATCTTACAGCACATAGCCTTTTCAGATTGGTTTCTTCCACTTCGTAATAGGCTTGTAAGTTTCTCCCATGTCTTTTCATAGCTTGATAGCTCATTTCTTTTCATTACTGAATAATATTCCATATTCCATTGTCTGGGTGAATCACTTTATCCATTCACTTACTGAAGGGCATCTTGGTGGCTTCTGAGTTTTGGCAATTGTGTATAAAGTTGCTATAAACATTCTTGGGCAAGTTTTTATGTAGATTTTCGTTTTCAACTCCTTTGGGTTAATATCAAAGAGTATATATATATATTTATTACTTGTATGTAGATCATATTTATTATGTTTTAAAGAATGAATCAGAGTGTTTATTAGTCTGGAGATCTAGTTAAGTGACAGGCCAAGAGAATTTCAACTGTGTTGACTGTATGTGTGAAAACTGGCTTTATTAGGTCTTGAGAGATCAGATGATCACTTCATGGTTTTAGCCAGGTGAGATTTAAGGTAATCCTTTGCTCCTTACCTAAGTAAGGAGTAAACTAACCAAAAGTTACAGAATAAACGTGTGTACTTTGATGGTCACCCTATAAAAGAGTTTAGGAATGAAAGAAAGAATTAGAGTTCTTTAAGATCATTAATTGGTTATGTCTTTGAGGAACATTAACCATGTCTTTAGGAAGCTATGAAGTTCTCTCAGTAACAAAAATAAGTTTAACATTTTTTTTTTAAGATTTTTCTTTGAGAGAGAAACTGTGTGAACTGAGTGGGGAAGGGGCAGAGGAAGATAATCTCAAGCAGTCTCCCCTCTGAGCACAGTCCCCACCTCGGGGCTTGATCTCATGACTCTTAAGATCATGACCCAAGCTGAAACCAAGAGTCAGATGCTTAACCAACAGAGCCACACAGACATCCTAAGTGTAACATTTTAAAGGGCAAAATTTAGTTTAAACCCATAATTAAAATTTAAATGTAAACCTATATACCCCATAATTGAAATTTAGAAAAAACACTACCAGACTATGATGAATGCATATTTTTTCTATTTGAGGTGTTATCTTAAAATCTGAAGTCCTATTTAAGCATTATAATTTTGCACAAATATATGTATATACATGCCCTCCTACAGAGAATCCCATGCCAAAGGTATTGAGATAAACATGCCAGTACTCTGGCAACTTTTTGAAGTTTTAAATACAATTGAATCTTCCTTTCAATTCCAAATGTAACAGGAAGACAAATGGAATGCACACACTTCAGAATCAAGATGGATGCGTATGGAGATTCAGGGAGAGGGCCCATTGGGAAGACCTGGGTAGTTTTTATTAGTATTTTTAAAGAGGGCTCTCATTCTACTGGCACGCAGCTTGGAGGTTCATACCTGCAGGCTGCATTACTGAAAGGTGAAGGAGTCATTTTTCGAGGGAGGACACTCTACCCCTGCTGTGTCTGCTGCTGCCATGGGCAGAATGGTGCTCTGGTGATAATGGGAATCTCATCACCACTTGCGAGTGTGTATTATATGAGTGATATAGCCAGAGATGTAGCCATCAGCTCAAGAATTTGTCCTCATAAAAATTGATTGAGAGTCCGGTTTGGCCAGCTGCAAAGTCATTGTTCAAAGTGAACACTCGAAGAGCTGCTGAAGTGAAAGGACTTTCATATAAACATTTAAAGCACAGTTCAAAATAGGACAATAAATTATTTATTAACATGGGGTGCTTATTGAGCTTCCAAGTAAGATTGTAAGTAAGATTAGGTTTGGTCCCCATTTAGATTCTGAAGTGAGTATAGTTACAGTATTGAATAGATTTCCATGTGTTTTTAAGAGGCTGGGTTTTTTTGTTTGTTTGTTTGTTTGTTTTTTTAATGAAGGTGGTAAGTGTGGGTCCAAGCCAAATGGAAAGAGCAATTGATTTTGAAGAATATGTTTGAAATCTTACCAAAGTTAAACTTAAGTGTTTCTTATTCATTTTTCTTATGCTTATTCAGTGTTCTAGTATTAGATTTGGAGGATATCATTGTTGTAAAGTACTTAGGACAATAAAACATTTTTGTTCACTGTAGTACAAGCATTTAATAGCTTTAACATTCTCTGATTTAATCAAATTGAATTATTTCCTAAATCTATAATCTGCTAATGCCTATTCGAATAACCGTATGACTCCACATACTGCATATTCTATGATAAATCCAGTATGTTTGGAGCACTCACCTACTACAGTTACTGCTATCTTATATTTATTAAGCAGTGGTAGCAGGCATTTATGTGAAGCACTTTTTTTAAAGATTTTATTTATTTATTTGACAGAGATCACAAGTAGACAGAGAGGCAGGCAGGAGGAGAGGGGAAGCAGGCTCCCTGCTGAGCATAGAGTCCCCCGATGCAGGGCTCGATCCCAGGACCCTGAGATCATGACCTGAGCCAAAGGCAGAGGTTAAACCCACAAAGCCACCCAGGTTGCCCCTATGTGAAGCACATTTAACACATCATCTTGTTTAATCCTCAGAATAAGGTATATTTGAGGGATAGGTAATAAATAGGATCCCTGTTGTACGAAGGAGTTATATCATTTACCTGGAATTTTAAAGTTAGTGTGTGGTAGAGTCAAGCATTCAAATCCAAATTCAGTCTACAGAGTAAACTTTCGTGTTCCCTGTCCTAAGGGTACGATTCAGTTGATGCACTCGAATAGTGTTGGTCTGAAGACAGATAGCTATAGGAGTAGTCACTGCGGATCACTAATTTCATGAGGTACAAGACCGTTTGACTAGACCTGGCCAGTAAGTGAAAGACGGAGAGTCTCGTGCTGGTGAAGGCTACTTACTGTGTGACATCACTGG